AAATGAACCTTTTTGGGGCCAGGAACAAAATGTTATGGTTTAGATCTAAAATGTCCCCCAAAGTTCTTGTTTGGAGGTGGGCCTGGTCAGAAGAGGTGGGTCACTGGAGACATTACCTGAAAGGGCTTATTCTTGACCCTGGTTCCTCCTTTCTCTCTGTTCTTCCTAGCTGATACTAGTTGAGCAGCTTTCCTTCACCATGCACTTCTGCAGTGCCCTTTCTGTCCTGCAGCCAGTGAACGATGGACTGACTCTAAAACGATGAGCCAAAATTTCCTTTCAGTTGTGGGTATCTGGTATTTTGTCCCAGCAACAGAGAAGTGACTGGTACCATGTGGATACTGATATTTATCATATGGAAAATTAAAGCAAATTTAGAAATAATAATTTTAAATTGTAATAAACCCATTACATGCTAACATAAATAACTTCTTTGGGTGGAGACAGTGCTGGGAATTGAACCCAGCGCCTTGTACATGCTGTAAGATTTTATAATGAAAAATAATTATACTTTTCTAAAACAAAAATATTAAGAAAGAATGAAATTGTTTTGCACATTTGAAAATACTATCACAGACTAAATGACAGATTCTCATATTTGCTTATGCATTCAGTATGTTGCAAAATCCATGTCACCAATTCTTTGGTAAGTGCCACTGTAAACTGGTGACGTACTGAGAATGGAAAATACCTATAATATCTTAGTTTTATTATGTTACTGAGTTTGATCTTAAAGACCTCCTAAGAGTGTTTTAGAAAACCCAGTGAGGTTCCTTGGAGACTCATTAGGAAAAAATTGAAGGAGAACCTTCAAACAAAAGTATAGATGTGGGGGATTAGGTAATTAAAATACTTTCATTGGTGGAGTTTGGTCTGTAATAAGCAATCGGGAAGCACTGAAATTTTCTTAATCAGAAAAATGAAAAAAGCTTTGCTTTTGAAGATTATTGTGCAAGTAATGCATAGAATATCGAGAAGCAGTTATAGTTGAACTGTAACTGATTTTTGAGGAACTGTGCTAAGCATTGTAATGGGTATTGCAAAGCAGAGTGTATTATACTCTCCATCTGACAAGGACAAGAGAAAGAGAAGTGGCAGAACAATGTGGAAATGTTAAGCCTTGTGACTGAGCAGTTAGTATTTCTTTAAAAGGAATTGGGAATATAGAAAAAGAAGCAAATGTGGGAAAGAAAACAGTGAATCTAATTCTGGGATATGTATAAAAAGTTTTACATTTTTTGTTCTGAAATAACAATATTACAGAAAAGTTGCAAAAATAATATGGAAAGTTCACATACATTCTTCACCTAACTTTCCCTAATATTCACAGCTTATATAACCATGGTACATTTATCAAAATGAGGAAAATAACTGGGGTAATACTAAAAACGATCTCAGATCATGTTTTTCCACTAACATCCTTCTTCTCTCCAGGATCCACTTTGGGATCTCATTGGATTTAGCTGTTGGGTCTTTTAGTATCTCTCCTCCAATTTGTGACAGTACCTCAGTCTCTCATTGTCTTGTGAAAAAAGGTTTTAATGAAATCTATATGGACATAATGAAATACATATGGACATAAAAAGCAACATCACTTCCTCTCTTCTGAAGTGCATAAGAACCTAAATTTAAAAATCTATTTTTTTCTTTAAAAGATTACAAATGTACCATAAATTAATACAATGTAGAAGTCATAAAGTAAAAAGCACGACCTACCCCAGAGATAGCTACTATTAAGAGTTTGGAGTGTACTCTAATATATTTTGGTTGTGTGCAGGTATGGTTTGTGTGTATATTGTGAGATCATAATGGGTATACTGTCCTATAACTCGTATTTTTCATTCAGACGCTGTGTTCTCTTAGTATCTTTCGCTGTCATCAAATACATCTCTATTTCATTTTTTTTTTAATGGCTACCTTCTTCTTAATAATATGACTTTTATTTTATGAGACCATTCTCTTATTGATAGCCTGCTAGGTTACCATGTTTTTCCAGTTCTACAAAATTCTACACTGAACATCCTTATATATGTATTGGGCTGTCTGCGGTTATTTCTGTGAGATGAAATTGCTGAATCAATGACAATAAGCATTTTTTACTTTCACAATTACCAAATTACCCTCTAGTAATTTGTATCTCAACATATGCTCCTTCGAAGAAGGTTGAGTGACATGCTTAACTTTCCAGCAAAGCTGTGAATAGAACTATTCTAATCTTTTAACAATGGTTTGGATTGGGGAGTCGTTGTGTGGGTATTTAACTATACATTGTGCTCTCTACAGATCACTGTTCTGCTTTGTTTTTCTTTTGTAATACACACATAGATAAAATATATCATTTAAACAAGAATGATTTTAAATGACTTAATCTTTGAAATTTTTTAATTCAGCTTGATATAAAGGCATGACTATGAAGAGGTCTAGGCAAAAACATGAGGGGCTCATGAAATAGTTTTAGGAGGCTCTCTCTGCATCTTAGATTTCAGGGTGGTGATAGAATAGGAAGAAATGTTCAAGAAGTAGAGGTCTAGGATCATAAATTATTCTTTATACTTATGTTGTTAGATGTTGTAATTGTTTTTGAAGGTGAGTGTTTTACATTGTTGATTTTCAGATTTTCAGAGATTATAATCAGAGAATATGGCCTATTTCAGGTTTTTGGGGCATTTATTAAGCTTTTCTTTGTCCCAAGTACATGATGAATATTTGTAAAATGTTCCATTGGTACAAAAATAACGTATACTTTCTGTTCATACAGCTGTTAAATCAAGTTGATTATATTATTCATATCATTTTTATTTTTATTTTTCTCTACTTAATCTGTCAAAAATTTTAAAACAACTTTAAAGATAGTTTAGCATTTTAATTTTTCTTATAATTACAGGAAAATTTTTTTTTTTTTTTTTGAGTACCGGGGATCGAACTCGGGTCCTTGTGCTTGCCATGCAAGCGTCGGAATCACTAAGCTAAATCCCCAGCCCGATTACAGGAAAATTTTAATAATTTCAAAAATAAATTGTTCTTTATAGAGATATGCATTAATAGCGAGTAATGTAGATTTAAGCCTGGTTCTTGTGAGAATTCTGTGGTCTTGAGAAGTTGTATTATAATTCAGTGTCACTTCTTACACAGAGATTGAGGGACAAGGGAAAAGACTGCTAATCCTAGCATATCCTTTTGAAATAACTAAGGAATCACTAAATTATTTTTAATACTGGTGTGTGGCTGTGATGCTAGAAGTAGACAAATAAGAATGCTAGCTACTGCAGAGAAACCATAAGTCAGATAATAGGGTGGTTTGAGAAAAATTAAATGATCCTTGATTTCTTATATCATCTAAAGTGGTGCTGGGAGTTGTTATAGTTTGGATAAGTTTTGTTTGTTTTGTTTTGAGGCAGGGTCTCACTTTGTAGTTCAGACTGGCCCTGACCTCACTGTGTAGCCCAGGCTGGCCTCGAACTCATGGCAATCCTCCTGCCTCTGCCTCTCAAGTGCTGGGATTATAGGTGTGCACCACCACACCTGGCTGGATAAGTTTTATATTTTCACCTTATTAGGGCATTTTAGGGGTTTTTTTGTTTGTTTTTGTTTCTTGCAGTACAAGGGATTGAACCCGGAGCCTTCACGCTTAGCTACAAATATCCTCAGCCCTTTTACTATATTTTGAGACTGGATCTTGCCAAGTCATTACATTTGCCCTGGCTGGACTCAAACTTACAGTCCTTCATCAGCCCCAGAGTACTGGAATTACAGGCATGCAGCTGGCTCACCTCAGAATTTTCCAAAGTATTTTCATCTATCTATCTATCTTATCTATCTATCTATCTATCTATCTATCTATCTATCTATCTTTCTCTCTTTCTCTCTTTCTCTCTTTCTCTCTTTCTCACTTTCTCACTTTCTCTCTTCTCTCCTCCCCTCCCCTCCCTTCCCCTCCCCTTCCCTTCTCTTCTCTTCTTCTCGAACTTGGGACCTTGCACTTGCGAGGCAGGCTCCAGAACCACTGAGCTAAATTCCCGGCCCTCATTTTTCTATTTCTATGATCTGTATTTTTGTAGGTGAGGGAGGTTATATGTATATAATGTCTTTTGTTTTCTGTTAGTCACTCTGCACGTATACATCATAGCTCCAGTTACATATTTCCAACCAATATAACAGGTCATCTTTCCAGACACGTGGATTGGTAAAAAAGATAGAACACTGGAAATGTAGGCCCTCCCCAAAATGTCCAAGATGTATAAATCTCCTCACACAAGTCTTACTGTAATGATTAGTAATAACGATCAATGTAAATATTAAGGATATTTGGCATATTGTCAACTCTTAACAGTGAGCTTTAAGAAGACAGCCAAAGAACCTGCCCTTTACAATAGTTTGCTCATTTGTTGTTTTCTCTCTATTCCTTAAACCTACCTTCTTCTAAAGAAGAGGTAGAATAGGATATAAAAACATAACAAGAACAGGATAATATTTTCATTTTATATAATACTGAAGTAAAATAACAGCTTGACCTTTGACATTTGAATATGGTTCCAGGTTATTCCAACTAAAATATAATTTTATCTTGTCTTATTGATAAACTAAATTAATTTGTGTCTGTAAGATTTGTGTATTTGTGTCTATAAGATTTATTCCTATGTACTTATCTCTCTGTAAAAGATATACAAGCAAATCAACAGTTTTTTAAAAACACAATTAAGGATGGTTATTTTCTGATTAACTAGTTTTCTAGTTAAAATGAGAGCCAAGAAGTACTGTTTACTTTAATATTTAGAAAACATGAATATTTCAGAAGCAGTCTCCCAAACCCCAAACTAGAAAACTGTTATAAGGCTCAGTTATTCTAGAATGGAATTATGACTTGGGAACTGCTCCTGTGCCCTTCTCTTAAACTATTTAAATCATTGTGTTCTGCCACTGAAGAATTAAATCATTGTTATTACATTAATGTAATTAATGTTATCACATTAAGATTAATCTGAATGTTTACTGTGTGCCAGGGACTGCTCTACACCTGACATGTATCGTTTCATGTGACTGTCATAGAAACTATGGATGAAAGTAGTCATGCTGCATTATATGAAATAAAACTGAGATTTGGAGTGAAAATTATTTTCCCAAGATCATGTGGCAAGTGAGTGATAGCACCCAGAACTGAACCTCACAACCTTGCTTTTAATCACTGATGCTAAATTGAAGACTGATATCTTTCTCTTACTCCATGACAAAAGAGGCAGCTAACTATGCTCGTTAATTCTTGTTAGGAAGTGAACAAACAACACAACACCAACTATTAAAAAAACTGCAACCACTGCCAGGGTGGTGGCACACACCTGTAATCCCAGCACTTGGGAGGCTGAGGCAAGACAATTACCATGAGTTTGAGACCAGCCTGAACCATACTAAGTTCAAAGCCATCCTGAACTACATATCAAGACCCTGTTTCAATAAACAAAGAAAAAACTGCAATTAAAAAAAAAGTACCAAGAAGCTCTGAAAAAGAACATTGGACATGGAAAGGGAGATGAACTTGTGTCTGGCTCAGTTCTTCAGCTCATGGATCACTTTCTTAATTAGCCTTTCTTTATCACATTCTCTTCATTTGTGTCTGTTAGAGCACTGAACTTATTGTTGTAATTATCATATTACAGTGATTATAAGGTGTAGCTCTAATTTTAATATTTTTTAAGTCTAGATACAGCTTGATGATGACAATTAGCATTTTCCTTAATTACTGATACATAAAGCAAGGGTGCAATTTATAATTGGTAACACCTTGGATTTGATGAAATGCAGTATTCATTTGTATGTCTTTTGAATAGCTTACACCACTTCCATAGTTTTAAGTAGCAGGTATACACAATGATTTTCTGTGTTTTAGCTTCCCCCTTTGAAAGCTGTAGTCCTGTATGTTGAACTTAATTTTTTTCTTAATGTCACAAGGATCATACACTTAACATGTCTACTCTCCGAATCACTTTGTCTTTCTAGTGGTCCCTATTTTCAGTAAATGACATCTTCATTTGTGTATTTGTGAAGCTAAAATGGGAGAAGTTGCACTCCCTGAGGTTGAGTTCCATTTCTGTCTGTGGTAGTTATGTGAGCCTGCAGGAAGTGTGTCTCCTTTACTCTTCATCTGTAAAGTGGAGAGCACAACAATACCAACTCTGAGGATTGTTAGGATGACTAAGGCACTGAGTCAGTGTTAGCTGCCACGAATCTTCATTATACCTGTCTGTGACCTCTCCTTGCTCTGCACATGTAATTCCTCACAGATCCCCTGATAGGTAGGCCCTTCAAAATATCTCACATTTGCTGGCTGTGGTGGTGCACACCTGTAATCCTAGCACTGAGAGGCTAGGGCAGAAGGATAGGATCACCATGAGTTCAAGGCCAGCCTGAGCTACATAGATTTCAACGCTATCTTGAACTATATAGAGAGACCCTGTCTCAAAAATCCCCAAACAAAAAACAACAGCACAATCTTGAATCTATCACTTTTTATCTCACTGCCTCTTCTCTAAGCCTCCATTTCTCTTACCTGTAGTAACTAATCTTACAGCTTCTTTTTTTCCATCTTTAACGTCAGAACCGTCCCTTAAATCAGAGCACACCACTTCTTAAAATCCCTTCGAACATTGAGTATGATCCCCCAACTCCTTGCTAGGGTTTGTCTTGTTCTCTGTTTTCTGCCTGGCTTCTGCCTACTTTTCCAGGCTCTTGTTTGCCACTCTGTCTTGCACTGTCACTCATCTCCCCCAAGACTAACTTGTGCTCAGCCCTGAGGGTTCAGTTCAGATAGCACTTCCTCAGACACTTTCCTTGGTCTTCCAAACTAAGGGTCTTTGGTTACAGGGTTTTGTACTGGATTTATACCTTTACATTTGAAGATAATTAGTTCCTTCCCAATGGAAGCAAAGGAAGTTAAGTGCTTTCCCCAAAGCCATAGCTAGTTGTGTCAGAACTGGAATGCCAGTCCAGGACTGGCTAGCTCTAGAGCCATGTCCTTTCTGTGCACCTTTCTTTCTTGCATTGAGGGCAGGAAAGAGATCTGAATCAATGTTTGAGGGTTTAAAACATAGTCTCATTGCACTTGCTTTCCACTTACCCTTCAAGATGTTCCTTAAAACATCCATCTTTCCAAGTCTTTACCCCTCTCAATAAATTGTAACCCCTTGGAAGTAGGACTTGGTTTTTATTGTTATTTGTTTGGTGCTGGTAATTGAACACATCCCCAGCCAGAATAATTTTTTAAAGATTATATATTGTCTACTTAGCACTTAAAGAAAAACATTTAATATTTTAAACTATTAATCAAAAAGGAATTTAACACCATCTTCCATAGTCTTTAATATCATCTTCCATACTCTTCAATCGGTGACCAAGTACATTTTGCTTACTTATTTTGAGTAGAATTTAAAAGTGAAGTTAATAATTTATGTTTGAATGAATTATTATAACTATTCTCTTGGAAAAGGAATTGACCTTGAGTATTTTTGCTTTCCTTCAGGAATTAAGTGATCTACAGCGTGATCCACCTGCTCACTGTTCCGCTGGACCCGTGGGAGATGACTGTAAGCTTTGCTTTACTGCAAGGGTGTTTAATAGCTTTAAAAGTACAGGTGTGAACATTTGTGAGTAACCCCCAAACTCCTCTGTTTGTTTCAGTGTTCCACTGGCAAGCAACTATTATGGGGCCTGTAAGTATGCTTCATATATGTGACACTCATCCCCATGGCCGTGCTTTCTTCTTGCTTCTTCACCTTTCATCAGATGTTTGTGACTAAGGAGGAATTTCCTTGTAGTCTGAATCACCCAGGAAGCAAAATGCGAGTAAGGGTTTATGATGCTTCTCTAAAGCACTGGTGGTAAATACTGGGGTCACTGTGATGTTTTCCATTGTCAACACCTTCATCAGTACATACAGAAATGGAACACCACAATTTGCAAACCAACTGTGTGCTTACTTGTTTTTTTTAAGACACAAAGGGCCAGTCCATAACCAAACATAGTTATTCTCATATCCTCATAGATGAGAGAATGTGGTTAGATTTTCATTGCTAGAAATGTCTAACCCAGTAATGGAATTCCAGCAAGTAATAAGCAACAGTTTGCCGTAAGTTTCATCACTGCTCCCCACGCCCCCTTACTGGGAATTGAACTCGGGACCTTGCGCTTGCCAGGCAGGCATGGCACCACTGAGCTAAATCCCAGGCCTTCATCACTGTTCTTATCTGTAAAAGAGAATTGACAAATACTGCAATGGGTTCATCTTTGATACTTTTTGAGTTTACTTTTACTTTTGTAGCATTGTCTTAACATTCATGACTGAGCTGTAATTCGTATGTTTTGCTGCCAGCCCAGGTGGTTTGGACCACTGGTGGTACATATATGACTGTCCCATCAGGCCAATTTTTATTAATTTTATTAGTAAAAAGACCTATAAAAGTAATTAGCTCCATTTGTACCACAAGTGGAACAAGCTGCCTGATGGGGCAGTCACAGATGTACTACTGGTGGTTCAAGCCAGCAGGAACATGTTAAACACAGAATTACCTACTGTTTTATAACTGGCTCCTCCTAATACTTGTTATCTTTGTTAACATTATTTCTCTCTACACATGACAGTGATGGCTTGAAATGGACTTTCTATGAGCAAAAATCTGATTGAATAAGAGTGCTCACTGTCAGCTCAAATCTGCTTTCTGGGTGAGAGTACCTCAGTAACTTATTTTTATGCACACCACTCTCTTCCTTCCTCCCCTGAAGGAGCTTTATCTATTAAGTTATGGAATTTTTAACCATATTGCCTTCTGTTTAATTAAAAAAAAATGTTTACTGAGTTTCAAAGTAAGATTCCTGGAGGGTTATCTTAAATTGCTAAATTGTTGGGCTGGGGATTTAGCTCAGTGGTTTTGCCGCCTGCTGCGCAAGTGCAAGGACCCGAGTTCGATCCCCGGTACCATAAAAAAAAAATTGCTAAATTGTTATATTTAAGAGTAAAAGTACAAAATACAAGGATATGAAAAAATACAATGAATGTTTAAAGTTTAAAAAGGTGTTACAGTAAAAGACACATTTCCATTAATCTCCCTCAAATATACCCCCTCTGCTTGAACACACTTAGTTCTGAAAATCCTCTTTCATGAATGTCTTCAATTCCACTGTCATGCCTGCCTAAGTGTCCTGAATTGATTCAAAACATGTGTCTTTCATGGTTATTTTGACTTTGGGGAAGAGCCATAAGTTGCAGGTGCCAGATCCAGTGAATAAGGTGGATGAGGACACAGAGTAATATTTTTACAAGCCTCCCATTCCCTTGGGTGGCACTTGCCAGCAGCATTCACCGTGTTCTTATTAGACCTCATAATGATACTCACAAAAGAGGATTTCCACAACTGATTCGGGAAGTGCAAGAACGATGGGATAAGTGTGTTCAAATAGGGAGGAGGTATTTGGGGCAGGGATTAATGGTAATTTCTGCTTGTTTTTCATTACTTACTAAGAACCTTCAGAATGCTATCATTAAAGGCCTATCCTTACCATTTGAGTGCTAGCCCTTCATAAATATTTCTTGTGTGAATCACATAGCAAATGATTACAATTGTGATAACCTCCCTTATTTTACTTATGTTTACTTATTATTTACTTATTTTTACTCCTAAGGGCTCTGTAGAATAATTTGAATATGTAAGCAGACCATATTTATCATTGTAATTTGTTTACATTTTCTACATTCCTTGTAATTTTTTATAAACTAGAATTAAACAACATATGTAGTAAGAATAATTATACAATACAGTCCTCTAATATGTAGGCAGAAACTAAAGGGAGGAAGTAATGACAGTCTTTGCTTTTATTACCAGAATATTAATATAACAATATATTTAATTGAATATGAAGAGATTAAAATAGAATTTTAGGTATATTTTGCTGTCATTTTCTTTTTCTTTTTTTTTCTTTGGTACCAGGGATTGAACTCAGGACTTTGCACTTGCGAAGCAGGCAGCAGCACCACTGAGCTAAATCCCCAGCCCTTTTTTGTTTTCTTTAACCTGTCTTTACTTTACTTGGCAATGTTATGAATATTTCTAAATGGTCATTTTTTAAGTGACCAAATTTAAATCTTTTTTCTAAAGTTGATTTTTAATTTGATAGTACTATGAATATTGAATTTACTTAATTTGGGACTTTTTTGTATTTTCTACATTATTTTATAAACTTACTAAATTGAGTTGAGAGATAAATTAGGTGTCATTTAGCCATTTCTTTTGCTAAATTGGGTCTCTTCTCTATTCTGGGCCCTTATATGACCATCAGAATTTAAGGTTTATAAGTAAAAAGGTAAGTACATTACTTGCCAGGATCCTTTATTTATACTGATTACTGCTGTGGAAAATTATCTTTTCTCAAAGCAGTCTTCACATGTACTGATCCTAAAAATTTTGTACTCATGAACAGCTTTGTTTAGGCAAATCACGCCACTATGTGTGTTTTTTGTTTTGTTTTAAACTTTATGATGGCATGATTGTTGGAAAATCCTCCTTCGTACCTGAAAAGGGATTCTTGTTCTCAAGATAAATGATTTGAACTCATGACTCAATGATTGCATTATTATCAAACTGATAATATTTGATAAAAGCATTTAAAATATGGTATTTTTTTCAAATATAATATTTGGGGAAAATCATTTTAAGCTATTAAATAAATTCAGTAATCAAACATTGATACACATTGTTTTGTTATTTCAGCCTGATAGCGCATACCAAGGTGGAGTCTTCTTTCTCACTGTACATTTTCCGACAGACTATCCTTTTAAACCACCAAAGGTATTTTATTTTTGTGATTGATGTGACTCCTATGTCAGGGATTTTACTCTTTTTCCAGAGATGATTTCATGATGTCAAGACCGTGGGTACGTTAAACATGCTCGAACTGTTCTATAAAGCCATTAAATCAAAAATATGCTTTCTCACTCAAATACTGTATCATATTTGTAAAACGAAAGAACAGTCTGTATAAATTAGTTTCTTGGTTTTTAAAAAAATTAGATATAGGTAATTAGGGAAGTCTTTATAGTCAGGAATCAAACTTTTCTATACAAGGGATTATCTTTCCAAAGTTGACTTTTTCTTTTAAAGTATTCAATAAATGTTCATTGAGCATCTACTCTATCCTTCAGTGGGGGATACAAAAGTAAAGAGGTCATAGTCTTTCATTTAATGCGTAGGAGAGATAAGAACATATTCTTATTAGATTTAATGACCTCTAAAGATTTAGGAAGCAAATGATGGGGATACCAACCAAGGAAGAAAAGAATGAACAGATCTGTCACTCAGGAAAAATTATGTTCGATTTTTTTAAACACTTGATTAAAATCATATATATTACATATGACAGCAGTTCCTGGGGAAAATTAGGAATTTTGGTGGATTTCTTAGGACAGACAACAAGCTGAGGCTCTCAACTTTGCCCTGAAACAGGGTCAACACCCTGTGTTTAGCTCAAGTTGCCACTTGCAGATGTTACTGATAGTCAAATGAAGAAGAGGAATACTTTGAGGTATTATGAAAACCAAGCTAATGGCTCTAGGTGCCACTCAACCAGTCATAACAGTAGTATAGACTTACTTATTTTACACTCCAAAATACTTCTCAATACTTTGGGGAGGAAACAGAAATGGAGTTAATTACTTTTAAATACTCAGTTGCTAGAACTACTTACAGCCCAAAGCTATTCAACTTGCATAAATGAATTTCTCCTCTAAGGGTGTGTAAAGTTGAAGATGTTTTGCCCCGGAGCAAATTCATTCTATTATGTTCTTAATTCATGGATTATCACTGTTCTGTTGTTTTCTTTTTATGTTTAGATTGCTTTCACAACAAAAATTTATCATCCAAATATAAACAGTAATGGAAGTATTTGTCTTGATATCCTGAGGTCACAGTGGTCACCAGCTTTGACTGTATCAAAAGGTAATATCATCTATCCAGTGTAGAACCATTGATAACAGCAAGACAGGAAAAATGCAGTATAAGTATCTAGAGACCAGTGTTTTAAAAAGACCAGTCTACTGTGCTTTCTCCTGTTTTAATTTTGTTTTGCTCTTACATAACTCTGGCTTTTACATTTAGCTTTTTGGGGGGTGTGGGATGTGGATGGGCAAATGTAAATGATAAAATGAGAAGAGATTTAATGTTAGAACTGGAAACTTGAGAATAACCCTATTGACCATTACCCTTTTAGCTTGGATTTTGAGTTTTAAAAAAAGAGAGAAAGAGATAGTATTAAAAATATTTGGGATCCAGTTGTCCCATTTATTGAATGGAACTATATATTGACAGTAATGAGCAAAACTTTATAGCAGTTTTACTTCATCCCAAAAAAAACCAAAACCAGATTTGGCTAATGAATGTTTAGAAAAGAAAGACATACCGTATTTTATACTTTACAATAATGCAGTAAGATAGGATGTTAAAGTGTAAATTTTAAATAATCAGTAGCATCCTTATAATGACTGGCACGTAATCCAAGCTGAATCTCAACTTTCACAAATGTGTTACATTGTTTGCTAAATTGTCAGTGCTATGCATTGGACCTCGGAAGCCAATTTTGTTTTATTAGCCAAAACTACTGTGCCAGCACTGTGTGTCTCATTTCTTTGATCCAAGAGAACTTGACAGTTGGAAAAACACACTTGAGATTAAAAGTATCTGCCCCTGAAGTAACCACTGTATTTTCCCTTTTTATAAAAATTCAGGAAGATTATTCTCTTGAAGGATTCATGGGAAGAATCTGTGGTCATTTCTCTTTTTTAAATAAATGCTTACCTGACTAAATAACTTTTTAAAATGATAAAGTTTATATGAAGCAGGGTTTGCAGCCATAACCATTTTAAGTATCAGGTAAATAATAAGGATAATTATTTAAAACTGGAAGTTTTCTGACCTAAAACGTTCATATAGATTCTAGTTTCCTTTTTTAAATCTTTCACGTAGTGAATCTGTTGTGCGCTGAATAAAGGATTCTGTGGTAAATGGTGTGCAAATTAATGTACTCTTTCCTAGAATGGTGTCACAAAATGAATGTCATTTGGCATGAACAGCTAAGTCCTTATCATTTAAAAGAAATGGCAGACTATCAGATGCTGAGTACTTCTGACATTGGTAGCTTTTTCACAAAAAGTAATTAGTGTCCTTGGCTTCTGGAAACTGCCCTTCAAGAATTTAAACAGCCTCAGTGTCCTCATATGTAAAATGGCATTATGATAGTGCTAACAGTGGACTCTCGAGTTACGACTGCCCTGACATACAAACAACTTGGGAGTACGACTGGAATTTTAGTTTCTCTCCCACTCTCTCTCTCTCTTTTTTTTTTTCTGGTACTGGAGATTGAACTCAGGACCTTGTGCTTTCGAGGCAGGTGATGGAACCACTGAGCTAAATCCCCGGCCTGGAATTTTTAGTTTTAACTTGCCACCAGAGTCTTGAGTTATGACCCGAACACTGGCTGCTTGTGCTTCTAGATGGTCTCAGATTCAGATTTAACGCTTAAAGAGTTCTGGAAGGAACATTACAACATCCTTTCCCATGTGGGGTTGAGAAATCCTGGGCCAATGTCTCTCTAAGGATACTGAGATCTGCCTGCAAGAAAGTATGGCCTAAAATTATACAGGAGAGAGATTTTGAAGGCTGTGTAGAGGAGCCTGATCGACTTGAGTTACAATCAGCCCTCCCTCACAAATTAAGTTTGTAAGTCAAAGGTCCACTGTGTTATATACTCCAGGGTCACCCTGCATCTGGCACATAGTGAGCACTCAGGTCAATGTTAACTGCTACTTTTTTCTTTACCTTAATCATTTGGCTTATTTGGATGATAGTAGAATCAGGGCAAAAGACTCATAGCAGCAGGAGTGAGGAGATGAGGAATTTCATGCTTGCTTAGGCAGCTCAGACCTCACTCGTTTATTTGTTCTTTTTTCACTTAATTCTACATGTGTTATTTTGGTTTTTATCATGAGTTCAGTCTGAAAGCATTCTGAAAATATAAGTGAGCCCAGAAAAATCTACCCTGTCAGTTTAATAAATAAGGCTTCCAGTTTTATTGGAGAGGATATATATATTTTTCCCTTGGTCCTTGACACCATTCCCCTTTCTTTCCTTCATACCCCTAGTATTAGGGATTGAAACCAGGGCCTCCAGCATGCTAGTCAAGTGCTCTACCACCAGACCACACTTCTAGCCCGCATTTAAGAGTAGACTATGCCTAGAAATTCACCTTTGAACTGGAAAGAGTAGGAAAAGATAAAGGAATATAGTATTGGAGAAGAAAGTGGAAATGGGAGGTTGTTTCAAAGGTTCCGTGCACCCCTCAAAAGAAGTCATGTGCATGTGAAGCAGAAAAAGAGGACCAGAGTTTTTGTTCCCTCCTGTTGTAGATAAAAGTATAGCTGTTTCCATCAGTATTTTGACATAGGATAGCAAAAGTGTTTTTCAGTTTTTGTTTGTATTTTTTAAATACACAAGTTATGTAATGATCACATTATTTTTAAATGCATGTAATACAAATAAAGTACATAGAATAAAGGATTAATTTTTTAAAACTTTGCAAATCTTCCTTTTTTTAAATAGTCCATGCTTAACCAAAGTAAAATGGAACATGAGCTCAATGTCCAAAATGTTTTGAACTGTTAATTATAATTTGATTGTTTTGCAGAGCATTCACTTGGAAAGGTTGTTCATAACTACTTTGGAGGTTCACATTTTTGAAATAAAAAATTCAAATAGAGTTTGAAACTTCAAAGGGAATATTTTCTAATTATATATATTTTATGATAATTTTACAATTTTGAAAATCAGTGTTACCTACCAAAGTTATTATAAAATGTAATTTGATGTTTTCATTTTATTTTTTGTTACAAGTTCAGTACCTATATTTAGTAAAATTATTTTCATGTGTAAAACTTTTATAAAGTAGAAGGATTGTTATCTAATAAAGTGTTCTCTTTTAAATCTAGTTTTATTGTCCATATGTTCTCTACTTTGTGATCCTAATCCAGATGACCCCTTAGTACCAGATATTGCACAGATCTATAAATCAGACAAAGAAAAGTAAGTGTTTACTTCTGTTAGTTTCCATTTGGGTGTATCTCTGTACAGTCTGCCAAGACATGGATATTATCCGTATATTTTTAAATATATTTGATTATCCCTAAATTAAATTTATGTTTTTTAGTGAAGTAGACCTTTCTTTTTAAACTAAATCTTTTTATAGAAAACAATTTGTTTCCATTTATTGTTTAGTAGTACGTGTTCAGCATTTGCACAATATCTGTACATAATTCTAGGCAATAGATTAAAAATGAAAGAATTTAGTGTTCGGAGAGGATTATATATTGTATTCTCTGTCTCCTGCTGGGAAGGGAATTTAGCTCTTTACCCACTCAGACCAATCTGTTTTTAAGCTGCCTGAAAACTACTTGATCATAGATTATTTTGCAGATAATACTCATTCAGACTTGGCTTTTGTAGATTTCTATTATAAGTTGGTCTCCATGTTTTGTTTTTTATATTTTAGATACATTTTCATATGGCTTAACAGGAAATTCATGAGTTAAAAAAATAATTTTTTTTCTATTTTATCTCTGCATGAGTCTATGTCATACTGACTCAATAATTTGTATAGGTATGATTATTGCAAGTAAGCATGAGAAGGGCTGGGTGTGATGGTGCATGCCAGTAATCCCAGCTGCTTGAGAGGCTGAGGCAAGACAGTTACGAGTTTGAGGCCAGTTGGGGCAACATGAGACTCCATCTCAAAAAAAAAAAAGGCACGAGAAGGTAGAATATATAGTTCTCATAGACAGTGCTTATAAAAGACTAGATTTGTATGTTTTACTATATCCCTTTGTATGCCTACAGATACAACAGACACGCAAGAGAATGGACTCAGAAATATGCAATGTAAAAGCAAAAACAACCTTTTCATATATAACAGTACTGTAAAATCTAGATTTTTTTCAACATTAGCAGTAAATTGAGCACTGTTTACTGTTTCATTGTACCATGAAACCCTTTGATTTTAACCCATTTTAAATGTGTTTCTGGAGCAAGACAAAAACTTCCAAAAATACCCTTAAGACTGTGATGAGAGCATTTATCATTTTGTATGCATTGAGAAAGACATTTATCATGGTTTTTAAGAAACTTGGACATCTGCATCTTCAGCTTACAAGATCTACAATGCAGCTGAAAAGCAACCAAATTATTTTTTGCTGAAACTAAATGTTTTTACATGAGAAATACTGTATGCGTTGTCTGAGATGTCACTTTTATAAATCTGTATTCAGATTTCATTCTTTGTTAGCTCACTTTATAATTTGTATTTTTTTACTGTATAGACTAAATATATTCTATTTACGTGTATGTCAACTCATTATGTTTTTCCTGTGAACAGTATTGAAAAACTCCAACAGCTGATAATTAAATGAATTAACTGTGTCTTCCTTGTCTTAGGATATTCTGTAGATTGATTGCAGATTTCTTAAACCTGAATGATCTTTACACTGTAATTCTCAGTATACTGATTATGGAGAAACACTTGTTTTGATTTTGTTATACTTGACTTAACTTTATTGCAATGTGAATTAATTGCACTGCTAAGTAGGAAGATGTGTAACTTTTATTTGTTGCTATTCACATTTGAATTTTTTTCTGTATAGGCAATATTATATTGACACCTTTTACAGATCTTACTGTAGCTTTTTCCATATAAATAAAATGCTTTTTCTACTATTTGTCTTGATTACTTAAATAAACAAAAATTACTTTATCTGTAACTAAGGACCAAAACTCTATATAAAATTCCACATGAAAATTGTTTCCAAACTGAAAATGAGGTCTATTATGTTTGGTATTAATCACCATTACTACTTATATATAAATTTGTTTTAGATTAGCATCTCTTTGCTAAATTGTCTGTCTGTAAGATGATTTACTTTGTCCCCTTGCTGTAGATGAGAATTTAAAAGAAGTCAGGGTTTCTTTTGGCTCACATCTAAGATGGATTATTTCCAGAAGTACATTTCTTAACATTTTAAAAATCTAGAATTTCTAAAATAGAATGCCACCTGAATTTGAAAAAAAATCTATATTTTAGAAGTTACCCCAAAAAATTTTAAATTATGCTTCCCTCTGTTTTTATAAATTGATAGCTAAAAATGATTTAAATAAGCAAGTTGTCTTTCTAGATTTTAAAGATACAAAAAAGTTCTAATGTTTTAGCTTGGAAAAAGACATATCTTTAGTGTTTAGCATGTATATCAAACTTAAGTGTATCACTGTTAAATATAGTTGTAGCTTTTCTGATTAATACACTAGCTATAAATGTGTAAGAATCTGTGATGGGTGTAGTTATTAGCAAAACATTTAAGTCACTTGATTCTTTTATCTTACTCAGTATTATTAAAACAAAAACTTGTTAAGCAGCAAATTTCATTTTCTTGTCAGTGTGAGAACCTTAGACCACTTGCACAGTTCTGAAAAATCTCAGCTATTTCAACAAATACTACATTTTCCCCCATTCTATTCCTTCTTATTAAGATTTAAGTATAAATATTAGACCGTTTGACTGTATCCCACATGCTTCCAGATCTATTTTGTGCTTTTCTCTTTTTTTGCCCTCTCTGTGCTTTAGTTTGGAAATTTTGTGTTGACTTCTTAGTTCATTAATCCTATCTTCTCCTATTTCAATCTATTCACTCAATTTCAAATGTTGTTACTTCCAGATGTGTTTTATCAGTTCTAGAATTACCATTTGATTTTTAACATAGTTAAGTTTTTTCATGAGTTCCTACATTTGTATTATTTTTTTGAGCTTCTTAATCATAGTTACAGTGTCCGCATCACCTATACGTGTGCTTTTATGCAGTGTATAGAAACTCTAGATAATGACTTCTACCCTAGAGGCCTCATCATTGGCTCTGCTGGTCAGATAGCACAAAGATGATCATCTTTGCAATAAGGGCAACCAGGGCCTTGCACAGTTGAGGCTTCTTACAGTTTTATCACATTCAAACTGGGTCTGGTTTGCCCTTGTTCATACTGCATAGCCCTCTAGGACCACCTTTGTTTCCTTAACACACAGGACCACAGGAAATTCCACTCTGCTTTTCAGTATTTTAAATTCAGAGTTCTAGCCTTTCGTTCCTTGGCAATTCAGACTTAGGCCAACATCTGGAGAGGGAAACCAGCCATATGTCTTCAGCCTCTCAGACCTGCAATGTTACATTTGCTCTGTGCAATCACAAAAGCATTGTTATCAGATGGAGTAGGGACCAACAGTGTTTTCTAGGTTCTTACTGTCCTGTTCAATGAATTGGTCAGGACAATTGTTGAATGTGAAAGGCTATTGTTTATTTTAGGGCAAAACTAAGAAAAGGAGGAGGGTGCTGTGAAGGAAAAAGAGAAGATACACCCTGCAAGCTGAACGGACCGCTACAAGAACAAGAGGACAGAGGCTCAAAGTCAATTGCTGCTGTCTTTTTAGATCTTTGATAGTTGATCCAGGTGTCCCACATGAGCTCATGCTAGAAGATTGGCATCAGGTGCCACGTTTGATACGTTCTTGAGTCAGAAAATTGGTGCTGGGCCAGCACTCTGGGGGCAGAGGTAGGTTTGCTTTGAGTTCGATGCCTGCCTGGTCTACGTAGTGAGACCCTGCCTCAACAAACAAAAAAGAAAATTAGTGTCAGGTGAAAGGGTTGGCTTGATCTCATGTCTGGCTCATGGGCTTCTGCCCTGTGACCGTGGTTAACAAGTTTCTTCAATGGGCAGGTCGTGCCCAGTTGCTGCATCCATGCTGCCATGCCCTAGACTCCTACTCCAGCACTACCAGTTCTGTCATGAACAGTAATCATAGGTGAGAGGTCAAGCCTGAAGTTTCCACCTTTAGCCACATCCTAATCAATAAGTGCCCCCAGGGGAAAGAGATTGTAACTCATTAGTGTCAGTTCACTAGTGCTGATGGGCAAAATTACAATAATTCTAGTTTTGCAGATCTTCATTGCTTTTTATCTATGATTCTAGAATTAGGAAGTCCTCAGAAGCAGGACAGATTAGGACCACTCCTATCTGCTATTTGGAAAGCACTTTAGACAGAAAACTGACTGATGGGAAGTACAGAAAATGAAAATGAGGTATAGAGAGTCCCACAGCTCTGCTCTGGCCTTATTTAAACACTGTTTAAACATTTTTTCCTACCTGAGAGTGAAGCTCAGCTACCATGATTGGCTGAGACTGCTATTAGTTACAAAAGTATACTCCTAGTTTACGCTTTTGGTTAGTTGTACCCTAAGTTAGGTTGCAGTTCACCACCTAGGAGTTTAGTATGGAGGCAACCCTGGGTCAAATTTAGTTACATTTAACACCACTTGAATCTTAACTCCTGGTCTGTTCTTGAAGTCCCATTCTCCTGGCTTAGTCTTCTCAGCACTTTGAGAGAGCTGAAAATTACACTATATTTTTCAGAAGGTTAGGTTTTATTCATTTTTCCACAACTGAGGATTGAACCCAAGGCCTTTGCACTGAGCTCCATCCCCAGGCCTTTTTAATTCTTATTTTGAGTCAGAGTCCCAGTGACTTGCTAAGTTGCCCAGGCTGGGCTCAAATTTGGGATCTTCCTGCCAGAGTGGTGAAATTATAGGCATGTGCCACCATGTTGGGCTAGAAGTTTCTTTTTTTTTTTTTTTTTGGTACTGGGGATCAAACTTGGGACCTTGTGCTTGTGAGGCAGGTGGTGGTACAGCTGAGCTAAACCCCCAGCCCTAGAATTTTATTTCTTTAGCTTCCTGTCCAACAGATTAAGTCTGGCCTTGGAAACTACTGCAGTTGGATGTTGAGGTCCCTTAAAGTCTGTTTTGCCACTCCAGCATTGTACAACCACTAAAACTCTTACTTTTCTGTTCCCTACCATGGGCTTCTGCAGGAGGCCCCACTTCTCAGTCTTTAGCCTATACTGTATTACAGGAAAAAAATGACTACAGATATCCATGCTCACTTCTTGAGGAGTCTCGTAGATTCTCCAACTCTGTCACACCTTTTCAATTATAATTTTATAATTCTCTTCTGATTCTCAGTGGAACCACTACTTGGAAGCATAAATGCCTACCTCTTCAGTTTTGTTTTTCCACTGTACTGGGGAGTGAACTTAGGACCTTGTGCTTGTGAGGCAGGCGCGGTGCCACTGAACTAAATCCCCAGCCCCCTCTTCAGTTTTTTGGTTTTTGGAGGGTTTTTTGGTACCAGGGATCGAACTTGGGACCTTGCACTTTCGAGGCAGGCACTGTGCCACTGAACTAAATTCCCGGCCCCCTTTTTCAGTTTTTATGAGGGCACTATGACTCCAGCTTCCAGGCTTGCCAAAACATTCTGTCTAACCCAAATCTGATCTTGTGAGCCATCAGCTTTAAAGATTTTGACATCAGCAATAGTTTTGCAAAAAGACCTCAGAAAAAAAAGAGAGATGTTAATAACTTAGTTTTTGGATCCTACAACTTCAAATGGTAAAGTTCATTCTTCTCTGTTTTATATGTCAGGGGTCCTTCCCCTGGGTTCTCAGGTTCTTTCACCTTGTTTAAATCATCAACCAACAGATAGAGTACCGAGTTTTTAAGACTCACAATCTAACCTGCCTTGCACCTTCAGACTCAGTTGCCATTCCCAGCCTCCCACCAAACTCCCTGTAGTTCCCACTGACTCTCAGCCTCTCCCCACTTCCAGATTAGAGTGGTGCTTCTCATCTTCAGGCTTTGGTCAAATTTTTCATTCTGCCTAAAATGCCCTCTTCCCTTGTCTTTAAATCTAAATCCATTTCACTTCTTCTATCTTTACTTTTTAAGGAAATAAGTATCCCATCTCAGTGTTTTCATGATAGCCTGTGTGCATCTTTACAATTACCCCTACCATATCATGCTTAGTATCCATTAAGTGTGAGACCCTAATATTCTTTTCCAGTTTTCGAGGTTTTTTTGTTTTGTTTTGTTTTTGTTTGTGATACTGGGGATGGAACTCATGGCCTTCACACTGAGCTATGTCCCAGCCCCACCCCCTTTTAAATTTTAAGATAAGGTCTTATTAAATTACTTAGTTGCCCAGGAAGGGCTACAACTTGCAGTCTTCCTATCTCGGTCTCCCAGAGTGCTAGGATTAGAAGTGTGAGCCACTGCACCCAGCTCTTTTTGTGTTTTGACTCCTGGGAACCTAGAACAGTAATTAGCATATAAGCACTCAAATCTTTATTGACTATATGAATGAAGTCTTGGAAGATCCTTAGAATCTTAATTGGCATATTTAAGTAGGGAAGGCATTAATGAAAATAGGAGAAACCAAACCAAGGTAATAAAGTAGAAATAACAATAGAATTGGCAGTTCTATGTGCAATTAATTAAAAACATAGAGAACATAGATCCACTTGATATGATGGTCTGCGTGAAGTCAGTGCA